TTCTACAGGACATAAAATGGATTTTGAAAATTTTAAAATTTTAACAACAGAAAAGGATTATTCTAAAAGATGTTCTTTAGAAATGTTTTATATTAACCAGGAAGAAAATACTCTAAATAAAAAAACAGATACAAAAGATATTAACATTATATTTTCCAACATACTTTCTATAGATAAAAATCTAAATCATAGCACTAGTAATACTAACACTAATATTAATTCTATATAAATATAAAATAATTTTTGTTTTTGTTTTCCTAAATTTATGAATGTCATTTGATGTAAATGTCCAAAATCTGTCAATCTGTATATAAATATCAATAACTCAGTTTCTTGTAAGTAATCCACATTTATATTGTAAATTATTATTATTATATCTATAACTTATAGTGTAACTGAAGAAGCAATAAAATATTGCGAAAGCTTTTACGTAGAAAAAACAGTTTCATCTAAAAAATAGGCTTTAATCCCACTAATAAGAAGATTTTAATTATATATATATTTATTTATTTATTTATTTATTTGTTTATTTATTACAATTTAGATTAACTGTTCAAGTGAGATCCTTTTTCTATTCAAGTATTTTTAATTTTTGAATGGATTAGAAAAATAAAGCGCATTTATGCTTTGATTTATTTATTTTACTATTTATATGTATAATAATAAAGTAGGGTTCAGTCTTTGCGGCTATGCCATTTTGACCAAAATATAAAAAATAAATTGATGGATAACTGTGACGTAGCGGTATGAAAGAAGTTCTACTTTTTAATCAGGTAGGTACATAATGATATTACTAGATACTACAATAATACGTTCTATAGTTTCATAATCATATACCTAGTGATCGCTTAGAACTATGATAGTGATCATTAATTAAAATGTAATACCTACTAAGAATTATATACTGAGCACTTATCTGACGCTCAACCATGAGAGTAAGAGTCCTTGTAAAAAACACGGTAAACAATTATTGTTAATTTTTATTTTTATACGTTTCGTATGTTGTCCATATAATTACCTTGAAATTTCAATAAGTACCTACGTATTTCAATTGACCAAACACTGTGTTGATCAAATACTATAAACATAGTGTGTTGTCACACTTTCGTCTTTTGTTATCGATGGATAGTTTAAAAATTTTTATTGAGTACTTAATGTGATGTTTTTTTTTTTTGTAGCGGCGATAGTTACACATCAAAATAGCAAATTTTTTTCTTCTAAATTTAAATTTAATATTTCAAAAATATTAAGTTTATACTTACAATATTTGTTAATGTACCCTACACACATAAAATTATGTTATAGTCCAATTATTAAATGGGCATTTAAATCGCAATTGTGGTCAACTTGCCTGATTTTTTTATATAAATTAGTTTGAGGTATATAATAACAATTAGTGACAGGAATTTTTGTTTCAACCCCCCGGCCAAGGGTGAAAAAAGTTAAAATAAAGGGATATCTCAAAAGGGGTAAGAGCTAGAAAAAAAGTTTCTTATAAGAGTTGTAGAGCATAAAATTCTACATAAAAATGGTCCATTGACTTTTTCTTGTACTATTAAAATTAACAGAATTAGGGTGGCTAGACATTAAGGGATGATTTCAGAAACTTTAAAAAATCGTAACAAGCAGAAAAATGAATGAGTTTTATAAATTTTTTTCAATCTACTCTAAAAATGTAAACTTTCTTTTCAGAAAAATACATAGATGTATTTTTTAATTTTTAATGAAAAAGTTATAGATTTTTAAATGGTAAATTTCGATTGATTATTTAAAAGAATGACATATTGTTTTACCTCTGTTTTTCAGACAGATACAAATTTATTTACATTTTTACTTTTTGAATTTTATTTAGCTCCTACGACACTGCCACGACAAAGATAAAAAATCATGTTCGCTTTGTCACACTCATGGTGTGGACAACTCGTATGCCTATGACAAAGATAGATTATTTGGTATATGGTACATAAAAAAAATTGATTTAGTGTTATTAAATTATTAAAATTAACGATTAAAAAAATTAAAATTGTTATTTTTTATTAAAAATTAAAAAAATATATATATTTCTCTGAAAAGATAGTTTACATTTTTTAGAGTAGAATGAAAAAAAATTATAAAATTCATCCATTTTTCTGCTTGCTATGATTTTTTTAAATTTCTGAAATCATACATATAACTTCTAGCCTCCTTAACTCTGTTAAGTATAAGAAAAAGTCAATAGACCATTTTATGTAAAATTTTATGCTCTACAACTTTTATAAGAAACTTTTTTTCTAGCTCTTACCAATTTTGAGTTATCTTGAAAAACCCCTTTATTTTATCTTTTTTCACCCCTGGGCGGGGATTGAAAAAAAAATTACTGTCACTTATTGTTATTATATACACAAACTAACTTACATAATAAATTTAGGCAAGTTGACCAAAATTGCGTTTTAAAGGCCCACTTAATTGGACTATTATTTTTCGTTCGTGGAAAATATATAATTTAACATAAACAAAATAACAGTTTGTTATACAATCGTTATTTCGTAAATAGGTGGAATTTAGAAAATCTCCAATAGTTTTAAGTACGTCACGTATTTTGTAATAGCTTTAAAATGTAAAAAATGGATAGATAACAAAGGAATGATAGTTAAATGAACTAAAATATATTTGGTTTCCAATAAATTTGAATGCATACGTGATTGACCTTGGGATTTTATTATTATTTTTTTGTAACAGTAAATTTATCACCAATAGAGAAAATGTATGAGATGAAACATTTTCTCTGTCTTAAGGAATTATCCATGGATTCCACGGATATTTACCGCTTTTTAAGTCTGATAAAGTCGATATTTCTAGATTTTGGATACCCTTTGGGGTATTCTATTAATCAAGTGTCATAAATTCCATTTAATAATAAATATCTAAAGCTTAAAATGCTTAATTGATTACCTGTTGGGTTGTAGTTTAGTAGTTTTAAGTGTGTAAGGTGCTTAAAATCCAAAGGGTTACCCTTGTTTTACTATTTTTTAATCTGACACAGCAGGCTTTCTGACCAATACCTTGTTTCCCAAAACACAGAGAACTGTTTTGAACTACATTTCGCTCCAAAATTAAGAAACCTACTGATTTTTTTGTAATTTTGTCTTAAGTTTTTAATTTTTGCTATAAACTGGTGTAATTAATAATACTTCAGATACGAAGAAAGAAAAAAAAATATTCAGAAAATACGGGACCTCAGTTTAATTGAAATAGACATTTGTTTCAATAAAAATTTCAACAATTCAAAAAAAAGCGGCCACTTTTAGCTTTTGATGCGAAGTGTATTAAACGTTAATGTAATGTAATTTTTGACAAATTTCTATTATGTACATACAGTTTCATTGACATATTAAGTAAACATTTACAAATTTAAACTTGAGATATTCCTTGTACATTTGATTTTGCAGGTTGAAACGACATGCCGCTCGAAAGGTTGTTGCTCTACAGAAATTCTTTATTTTTGTCAACTTAATTTGGTAAGTATCGATGAAGTTATTGAGATTACCTGCATTAACAATTGCCGAGATAAACGGTTACCTCTAATTCTACTAATCAGTCAGTCTCGGCGCTTACTAACGTAAGCATGAGCGGACAAAGCAGCCCGTTCCTTATAAGCAGCCCATTTGTAAAAATCACCTAGAACGGGTATTGTTTGTTGTAGTGCCAATTGAAAGGAATATGATACGCCAAATAGTCGTGTGTGGAAAATGACTAGTTTAAAAGGTATCGAAAGTTTGATTTAACATCAAAACGTGTTCGTTTTCAATATAATGCCTAGCCTCATGATCATTGAGGAAAACATGGATTTTGAAAATTTATGGAAACTCACATTATCGACAAAACGATGTGACATATAAAAATGTTGACTGATTGCTTTATTATCGAAACACTTTACCTACTTTTTAGAATTTATATTCTGACAAATTGCTTCATTTCGATATGACAATCAGTGGGCGCGTTTTTTTATGACTAGCTTTCTTCGAAGTCAGTTTTACTGACAGGGATCTTCTATTAGCAAAATTTGTTATATCAGTATCCTGCATTTGGCAATGTCGATTAAAATCATTCAAGTTATTAAATCGATTAATACATTTTTTTTTAATATAAACGTATATTTATTATGAGTGGAGTAGTTTCTGCTTGCCAATTAGTTATTCCAGTGGCCAATTAATTGGTCAATTACACGTGCAAAGTTTATTGTTCTATCTTAACATACTTAATTGTGTCCAAAGTTATAAAATACCATTTGTTATTGCAATCGAGCAAGTTTAATAGTTAAGTCAAAAGTTCGTGTGTTATTGGTTCTAGAGTGAGAATAGTTTGTAGGAAGATTCGAATTCATTTCTTTCTTCATTCTAAAGAAATTTGTTTCCCTCGGCCTTTTGATTGAAATCGTGAAAAATGAAATGTATGGTTGTTTTCCCTGATGTTAGATTTTTATAGAGTATTTATTATAAACGAATTTACACAGCTATAAATAAAACAAAATTACGCATGTGATTTTAAACAAACTGGAATCATTTGAGTCATCTGATGTGTCAATATTATCACACTCGCAGGAGGATTTCGTTAAAAATCATATTTTCAGGGTCCAAGCTATTAAAACTTATAATTGGTCTGTGCAGATTTATTTAATAGTGTTTGTTTTAAGAAAAACACATAATATTATTTAAGACATATCTACAATCACTATTGTATTTGTCATTAAGTAGTTTTAGATGTTTAATTTTAAATATTATTATTATTACTATTATTATTGTTATTTAAAAATGTAGTAGGTACTTACTTATCACCGTATGTTAATATGTACAGTAATAATAGTTGAAATGAATGACGGGGATTTTAACAATTTTTAGTATGGCACAGCTATCAGTTACAGAATATTCATTATTAGATAAATTTAACTCCATTTTTGTCGGATATAAAAAAAGAAATAGTATTGTATATAGTAAGTGTATAGACTTAGTCTATATGCAGATACCGCAAAGATTTGAAGTATAAATATTAGGTAGGTATGTATGTATGTATGTAGGTACCTAATCTAGGTAGATACGGCTTGTGCTTGACGATGTTGAGCAAATTAATTTTTGAACTTTGCGGAATATCAACAAGAGGTTTCATTTTCTTCATGGCTGGTTATCTTCGTTGGAAAAATAAAGCACACGCCCTTGATAATATTAAAAGACTAATAAGGTCATACTAATTTGAGGTGCAATTAAAGCTAATCGGTTTCTGCAGTGAAGAATTACAGTACTCATTCAATTCCACTACTTACCTTGAGATTATACACACAAGTTTTTGTTTGTGGCAGTCGACCTCTAAAGGCCATGAGTTCGGGAATAATTTAATTACCTAGGTACCTACCTACCTACTAAAAATGTGGATTAATTCGAATGCATAAGGGCGGGTTGTAGAAAGAAGAGTTAAGAATTAAACGGAGTTTAATATGCAAAGAGTGTTGTACCAATATATAGTCCAATTAACTAAGCCTTTAAATCGAAATTTTGTCAACTTGGCTGAATTTTTGATATGAGTTAGTTTAAGGTATATTATAACAATAAGTGAGAGTAATTTTTTGTTCAACCCCCGGCCAAGGGTGGAAAAAGATAAAACAAAGGGCTTTTTCAAGATAACTCAAAAAGGGTAAGAGCTAGAAAAAATGAAATGAAATGAAAGTTGTAAAGCAGACAATTCTACATAAAAATGGCCTCTTAACTTTTTCTTGTACTATTACAATTAACAGAGTTATGGAGGCTAGAAGTTAAGGGAAGATTTCTGAAATTTAAAAAAAATCATAACAAACAGAAAAATGATTGAATTTTGTAATTTTTTTTTTCAATCTGCTCTAAAATATGTAACTTTTCTTTTCAGAGAAATATATATATTTTTAAATTTTTAATAAGAAAGTTATAACAAAAAATCAAATTTTTAATCGTTAATTTTAATGATTTAACAAAATTAAATTTCTGAAATCTTCCCTTAACTTCTAGCCTCCCTAACTCTGTTAATTTTAATAGTACAAGAAAAAGCTAAGAGACCATTTTTATGTAGAATTGTCTGCTTTACAACTTTCATGAACTTTTTTTTCTAGCTCTTACCCTTTTTGAGTTATCTTGAAAAAGCCCTTTGTTTTATCTTTTTCCACCCTTGGCCGGGGGTTGAACAAAAAATTACTCTCACTTATTGTTATAATATACCTTAAACTAACTCATATCAAAAATTCAGCCAAGTTGGCAAAATTTCGATTTAAAGGCTTAGTTAATTGGACTAATAGTTTAAGATAAATTCCTCGCTTAACCAGAGTTTTAGTTTACCGACCATATTTCGCAGTTTAAACTATGTTTATCAAATATAACCATACTTTTTATTGATTTTTCTGTGGACGAAAGATTATTTGTTATTTCCATTTATCTCTATGGTTATTACACTAACTAAAAACTGACTTATAAAGTTCATCCGTAGTTCTAAAAATGATAATAAATTCCAAAAGTGAAACTAATATGTACCTACTTAATGGATTTGTATTATTATACCGATGATGAGGATTGAGGAGTTTAATGAAGATAATATAGATACAGTTCATCCATAGAAAATTGAATATTAACATTCTTCTATGAGTTCATCGGAGACCTAAAAACTGTATATTTTGGACGCAATTTAACAAGATTCTCTCTTCCTTCTCGGTGCACGGGTTTTTACTTTTTTCTTTTCTTTGTCCATATTTAAATACTGTGTTATATTATAAATACTAAAATTTGGTAATAGTAAGTCAGAAATTAATGTTTATTCTCAAAAAGGCGTCATATTTCTTCTTTAGTAGTTCAGATGCATGGATACCGCGGTTCGGATGAACGAAAATGTACTGCCAACTTTGTAAAATCGGCGGTTAGGTAACCGACCCTTAATTACGTATGTATGTACAACGCACCATTTGATAATTTAAGTTTAAAAATTAACCCAAGATTTTGTAAACTTTGATTGATCTATTCTGTGTAGAAGTTTCTACGTTGCACATTATTAATTAATTTATTTTCATATATTTCATTTCTGTATTCGTATATGTAAATTAATATTAGAGAAAGTGCAAGTTAAAAAAATATTTCCAACTATGTATAATATGAATATCTGAGTAGATAGATCTAATTTGTAGGTTGCGTAGTATATATGTAAGTTAATTATGATTCTAAAAATAGAAAACAAATGCTGGTAAAAAAAATCCCTAAGGGAATTTATAGAATAGGGCTGGCGCAATAACAGAACAAACTTGATTTTATATTTATATTATTTATATTTGAGTATACGCATTTGTCGGTAAATTTATTTAACCCGACGTATTATTTTAACGTTCAAACGTTTCAATATGTGGAATAATTGTAATAATTAATTTAATGGATAGCAGTACACTGTGCATAAAAATTCATTGGACAAGGTATCCGTAGTCAGAACATAAATACTTTTTTTGGATGTAGAGTTATGATTTGATTGCGTTTTATTGCAATAATTAATGTTAAAAGCTATCCAAACTGACAAAATATTATGATTTTAACCAATTTTTGTTGCATATGACAAGAGGCACGTCAGATTGTTGATGGTAAGGAAAGTTTTTGCATGTAATTGGAAAATTAAACGCTCATATTACCAAATTTATTTGGTTCGTACTGTACCTAGATTTTGTTTCAAAGGCCCTAAATAGTGCTTTTAACTTGATTCTAATATATTTCTGAAACGGTAATGGGCAGATATGTTATTATTAAAAACAGTCCCACGACAAATTGATTTAATGTTAAGTGGGGGCGTTTTTATGCGACCAGGGTTTTAGTAGTTGGAAACAATATCTTCACTGTACCAGTTATACAAGTTTTCTCCAGGGTGTAAAACACTTTACAAGCATATTTTTACTTCTTATGTTTGTCATATTTCCTAAACTATACACGCCCGTTGAGTATACAGAAAGAAAATGAAGCTATTAACACATGAATTAATCATAATTATTGAGTATTTTTACAAAAGGAATTGTAAATTTTATAGTTTATTTTATTTTCTTTATTTTCTCCAGGAAACTATATCTGGCATTTTGATTTTGTCGTGTAATGAAATAATATAGATATAAAATTATTAAATAATCCATGCATGGTTTATCTTAGTTGTAACCTGGATAGTGGTATTAAATGTTTAATATTGTTGCTTAACTTAGGTACCTAATTGTTAATTTGCCAAAACAGATGGAATCATTTTGTTTTTTTTTATGCCTGACAAATTTTGAAAATGCTTAGAAAATAAAAGGAATATGGGTATTTTTACAGAAAAATTCTATCTAGCTGACTACGATCTCCTCTTGATATCATAAGCCTAGTCCAGATTTACAATCAATTTTTATATGCAAATATTTTCAAATAAAAACAAAAACATTTGCCCGTAAACAAAACCAAACGTTGGTTACCTCTGGACAAAAGTTTAAGGGCAGAAATAGCCTGTCTATATTGACAAATGTTATTCGTCCTGTTTTAATATTTCATATATATTCCAAATTGAATCAGCTAGGTGTAAGAATTCCTGCAAACCACAATATAAGACATCGGTATATGACATTGTTTAAGATGGAATATTTTTTTGAGGGAGTTGAAAATAAATGATGCTGGTTTATAATTTTTTTTCAGAATTGCACACACATTTTGAAACGTTAATTGAAAATGTCGGTTCATTTACATCCGCACAAATTACAAAATTTAGTATTGTGATACCCTAAATTTGCCCGTGATTGTGAATAAACGTGCACATTATTTGTTTGCGGGTAACTGTTTGTAATTAAAACTTTTTCTCATGTTTCCTCGGTGGAAAACAAAAAATACATATATTTGTATAAATGTTTTTATAAGAATGTTTGTAAACAGATTTTATACATGTTTTTGTATATTTTAAGGGCAAAAATAAGTAGACCTGGACAAGGCACTCTCTATAATAATTATTTGATCCTTAAAACCTCGAAAGTATTTGTAAATGTAATGTTTTTTTAGGCATGGGGGGGCCATGGCTTGCCCAAGTGCGCTGCCTGCACTTGGCTATTTTTGCACTAGCAATGATTCCGCTCTTCCTTTGTTTGTCTTACCTAAATACCAACCAACTCCACACGACGGCGTCCCCCTTGCGTAATTACAACGTTAGGGTGCTACAAGCTAATACTAGCCAGGAAGAGAAGAACAACCCTGCAGCTGATCCACATCCCAGTAGGACGTACGAATCATCACCTCAACCAGCTCCATCTCACCAAACTAATAGTACTAACAACACGAATCAAGGACCAGATCTGACAAGAGGTATAGCAGCCGAGATTATCTACGAAGCTGGACATGTGGATGTTAACTCTCAGATCTGTCCGGATTTAGGAAAAAATATAAAATTACTAATTGCCATTACCTCTGCTCCAAGCCACGAAGGTGCACGGTTAGCAGTGAGAGAAACTTGGGGACATTTCGCCATACGCAAAGATATAGCTATAGCGTTTATGTTGGGCGCTACATCAAATCAAACTCTTAACAGTAGGATAGATAAAGAACAAGAGTTATATGGTGATATTATTAGAGGAAAATTTATCGACACCTATGACAATCTTACCTTAAAAACGATATCGATGTTGGAGTGGGTAGACAACTATTGTCCAAAAGCCTCATTTGTACTTAAAACCGACGATGATATGTTTATAAATGTTTCTAGGCTTCTCGCCTTTATTGCGAAACACAAACCTGAACAGAGAGCAATATATGGACGATTAGCAAAAAAGTGGAAACCTATTAGAAATAAAAAATCAAAATATTATATATCACCACAACAATATAAACCGTCTGTTTTCCCTGATTTCACGACAGGTCCTGCTTATTTGCTACCTGCTCAAATTTCAAAAGAATTATATGTGTCGGCTTTAAATCACACATATTTTAAGTTAGAAGACGTATTTGTTACAGGAATTGTTGCGAATGGATTAAAGATTAAACGTGTACACGCTCCTGAATTTCTGAATAAAAGAATATCGTTCACTCCGTGTAACATCCAGAAAGAGATCAGTATCCACATGGTGAAAAGTACAGAACAGTATGATCTATGGAAGAAACTACATGATGTAGCGAAATGTAAAAAGTAACAGTGATGCTACTTAGACTTGTGATTAGTTTTTATTATTTAATGAAACCCATTTCATTATGAACAGTATTTTAATTAAGTTAAATTATTTTATCAAGTTAATTAGTTTAGGACCAAAGTACATCACTGGAACATCATCTGAATGTTTTGTAAATTAAAATATATATATATTCATGTAATATATATACTCATGTAAATTTTTTATATTATAAATTTGTATCATACATAATTCAAAATGTAGATATACTAAGTATAATTAATTTTTACAAATCAGTGTTAAGACCAAGTTAATCACAATTTTCTTACAAAATCATTGTAAATACTTTCCGAAATATATATTTGTACAATATAGCAACTCTAAAGGAAATATATATATATACACGCGTACATAAAGACTTAAAAATGTTCAAAGTTCAGGCTATTAAGGAATATAAACAAAACTTAATTCATAACAACTCGCTGCATCAAATTAAATTAAATAGCTAATCTATAAAAAATACTAATATACATACACGTGTGTATATAGATCTAACTCCAAACACGTTAGAACACTTTAGTTTTCTTCGTTCTGTGGAGGTATATATACAAATGAATTCACCTCTTGCAGGACAAGTTCTGAAAGGAAAAATAAAAAAGACATTGAGCAATTCATTTATCCTATTGTTTAATTAGTAAGTAAAAAATATTATAATTATATTCCTTATTTAAATAAAAACTGATTATATACATTTTTACTGTGCTACAAAAATTTCTTACTAAAAAATATGGTGCTACGTGTGTACTGTTATAGAGTTGTGTAATTTATTTTTTTATTTGTATTTTCTTTTGTTTCTGTTTTGGAGATATGTATGTATATCCTATGAATATATTTTTAGGCCATTTTAAAGAATATTCAAGTCGGGTCAGTTTTCTTTAGATTTTCAATATATTAAAATAAACATGTTTAAATATTCTAAAACAAATTATTTGATCATTTTAATTTTGGTATGATAAAAATATGCTCATAATGCAGATTTTTTTCAATGCAATTTACGTAACATCAATCGTGAAATCTAACTTCATGTTGAATATATAAAATATTTTTGGAGCTAGTAAGAATTTCATTCTGTATGTTTTATGTATGGATATATTTTGTGATAATTTCTCTTTAATTTTAAATTTCAGTATGCATAATTGTATTAAAAAATGTTTCTAAATATATAAAAATTCACAAAATGACATTTTATTCATCCACCTATCTCAATATTCAGCTAAATATTGTTTAGTTGCTTAAATGTGACCTTAGGCTTGTGACATATCTCTTAAAGATGTCATTAATTTTTATCTATCTGTAAAATTTTCTAGACGTCACTCTCAATACCAATTAGAAAGAAAGATTTCCGACTTACCTCTCCACTTTTCTACGGGTAAATTCATATCTTCAATACTTTGGTCATATGGTGCTGATATAGGTTCATCGTTGGGATCAGCATAAGCAGCTAAATATGCGTGGGCTAGGGCCTGTTCAGCAGTAATTCGTTTTTCGCTATCTAGCTCTAACATAAGTCCTAATAAGTCTATTGCTAGTGGGTTCGCACCCAGGAAATATTGGTGTAAGTCTTTTTTGGGCAACGTGGGCAGTGATTTTATGTAACTTCTCGCCTAAAAAATGTAGAAGGGCTAGGTCTCATTTTAAAAAAAAAATTGGTTAGGATGCTTACACTCTCTGAGGTAATTTTTTGCATAAATTCATCACTTGGCGTGCCCAATATTTCCATAATTAAATTGAGTTGATGGATATCTATAATTTATATGGGAAATTTTTATACAAAATATTTAGTTTGTATTTAATATCACAATAAAGGATACGATCCGTTCCAGGAAATAATGTTCTTCCAGTTAACAACTCTGCCATAATACAGCCTACAGACCATATATCTACAGTCTGGTTGTAGTGCATCCAGTTTAACATGATTTCTGGTGCTCGATACCATCTTGTTGCTACATAACCAGTCATTTCTGTTTCTGTTGGCCTGGCTAACCCAAAATCTAATATTTTTAATTCACAGTCTTCATTTACAGCTATATTCGAAGGTTTCAAATCCTTAAATTATATGTTAAACAATTATTAGGTTAAATGTAATTAATACAAAGAACATACTCTATGTATAATTCCAGCAGAATGTATATATTTTAGGCCACGTAGTATTTGGTAAACTAAGAATTGCACATGATCATCAGTTAATTTCTGTGTTCGTATTATATTATTTAAATCAGCTCCCATGAGATGAGTGACTAGATATATCTAAAAAATATGATATAAGAAATGGGAGTAAATAACACTAAAAGAGAGAAACAAACCTGGCTGTTGTCGTGTTTTGGATAAAACACATCTAATAGTCCTATAACATTTTCATGTCTCATATGTTTTAGCAGTTTTAATTCCCTGTAGGTTCTCTTGGCGTGAACTGCTGATTGAAAAGGGCGGGCTAGTTTCTTAATCGCTACCTTTTTGTTTGTGACTATATCTAATGCCGAACTATAAACAAATTACAGATTTATTTATTTATCTTCCAAACATGGAAATATTACTTAATCTATATTGAGATTAATGATTCAATTGAGATGCAAATGAAAAAATAGTAAAATAATTTTGCAAATACTGGTTTGATTTTAATTATTAAGATGTTTTGTTAAACTTTATTATTAGATGATATTATGGTAAATAGATATTCGTCTTTACCATATACCTACTTATTAAATGCACAACAACCAGTGTACATTTTTAATATTCCCTTTAATTGGGTGAAGGTTTGCATTTTAAAATTCTAACCTCCAATTGTCGTGAAACAAGTCGCAAGTGAAAAAAATATATTTTATTTTTATCAGGGAACCCATATTTTTTAATATACTTATCTGTTTACGCATCTTATCGTTAGTTCTCTTTATAAAATCTATATTTAACTAATTACAAATGTAAAGGTAGGTGTCTCGTCATATTTACCATACTTGACCGTATGCTCCTGAGCCAACTGCCGAAAGGGCCTGATATCTCTCGGGGACTTCCCAGACAGTTTTATTAACTTCCACTTTGTGAAAACTTGACATATTTGAAAGGCCACTACTTTCTGTGATTAAATTTGTTAAATTATCAACATGAACACTTCACAAATGCACTCAAATAAAGTAGAAAGAGATGAGAAAACCGTACCATGATCATGATGAACTAAACTCGTTCGAGTGGGTGTGAACACTGTCGGTATGTGTGAAATTGCGTGACCTGGAAAAGAAAAATAAATACGACGTTTGAGATATATTTTGAATATTCGTTCACGGGTAGCCTATTCTAATCTTTGTTTAGGATTGTAATAAAGTAATAATTTTTCAAAATAATCTAATTAAAAACAACACATTGTTTTGAGTAGTAGATGAGATCAGTTAAAATCACACTGAACAGAACAAAACTTTAATGTAGATAAATTAGAATTTCATTTTATTATTACGATTACGTATTTTCGGATTGTTTACCATGTTTGCACTACACGCGACGCATATTTAAATTCAATAAAGTACTAATATATATTTGTTAGACGTACATATGTAGGTCCATAGGCCCATAGATCATAAAGATATAGGCATTTACATAAACTGTGTGGTCTCAAAATTATACTTTCTAATAGTGGTAGTTTTTATTATGCGATTATTATAATCCAGGTTAAAATAAAACTAAATTCAAACAAAAATACTAGTTTATTTAACACATATGTTTTGTAATAAATAAAAATAAATTATTTAAAATAAAATTTAAATACCTACCTCTTCTATAACACAGTCTGTAGTCGAAATTATATTAGCAGGGAAGATTTAGTGTTTTTCTGTCACCTATTAATGTTTTATTACATAAATAGAGCTTCCAAAAAGATAATTACATAATAACAAATGGAGATTTATCTTTCTTTTCAGAATTCAAGTTATGCTGAAAATACTTTTCCGTATATCATAAATTAAGAGCCTGCTTTTAATTTAATTGATGAACGAATTTACTATGACTGAAAAACTGGCCCTAAACTTAAAGCATATAAATTTCCGTACATTTTGCAACTTCAATGTAAAACTTATCTAGACATTTCAACAATTTGGTGATTATTTATAAAACATGTAGGGTTACACAATGATCATTATAATTTTTAACTATAATTTACTATTTGTTTATCATCCTCAGTAATCCCTTCAATTGATAAAAAACCTGTTCCATATATATACATATCTAATATCTGTAACATGCATTGTGCTATAAACCTCACAAATGGTCGGACATCCCCCATATTAGCCGTTTTTAAAGCATCGTAATATTTCTCTCTAGAAAAAAAAAAGTGTTAATTGACAACCTAGAGCAAGTAGTGTTCTGTATAAAACAGATTCATAATCTTAAATTTCCTTCACTCAATCTTATACTACTACCTTTGTTCTTTAAGAACCATAATGGGGGGATATCCAGCCTTGAGCAAAATTAAATTCATTATAAGCCTGCTGGTGCGTCCATTTCCATCGACAAATGGATGAATATCGACTAGCTTGTAATGTGCTAGAGCAGCATAGCGAACTGGATGCATACTTTGAGCTTCCTCAGAGTTCAGCCACTCTACATAGCTCTCCATTAATAATGGAACTTGATCATGTGGCGGAGGCATATGACTGCCCACAAAAACCTGAAAATATATAATACTCATCTAAATGGAACTGAACTATTTTCATATTAAAATATTAATTTACTTTCTCATCACGAAACACACCAGAAGATATTGGATCGACATGTCCCATAACTCGCCTATGAATTCCCAAAATTTCTTTAATGTCTATGTAATCACTTCTCACCAATAATTTAATATACTGCATAGCCTTTTCTAAACCTAGCACCTCATTGTGTTCAACTATACTTTTCCCAGTTATGACTTGTCCAGTTTCTAACAAATATCGCAACTGTTCTACGGTCATTGTATTGCCTTCAATACCAACTGTATGATATATATGTAGATAATATGCTTGTTTTTTAACAGTATCGAAAGTATCAAGTTTCATCCTACGTTTCAGAAATTCTTTTCTAGCATCTATAGTTGTAAATAATTTATAATCTAGGCCTTCAACAACTGGTGCTGTACGTTGGCGATTCATAAGAGCAGCTTTATGATCAGGAGAATATGTCAAAGCCTAAAACAAACTGTAATAACTTACCGAATTCTATAGTTTTCTATATATGTACCTTAAAATATAATTCATCAGCTGTAACAACATCCTGATGTTGTTGTTCTAAGAATTCTCCATACCAGTTCAAAACATCTGCATTTTCTGGTGCTATAGCTGCTGCATGTTCAAATAATTTCATAGCTTTATGACTTTTCCCAGATAATTTAAATGCAATAGCAGCTTGCAGAGTATTGTATACTTCTGAATCAGTGCCAGCAGCTTTGTCAGTTTTTATGATATTTATTTCATCAGTTTTCTTTGGTTGCGAAAGGACAGAGTTTAAATCATTTAAAACCATGTCATCATTGTCTTCCACAGTTTGGACGGGATAATTTAAATCGTTACTATATCTATATGAAGGAATTAGGTCCTCAAATGCGGGAACATCAGATTTTATCGAGTGCGTCTTGTACAATTTGTTAATAAAGTAATAATGTTGCAGTAAAGCTAGTAACACGCATATCACAGATAAAAGCACCGATATTATTATAACAAATATATTCATCGCACGAAAACTTACGTGGTTTTTTTTGTTATCATTACTGTGAATTTTTGAGGTTATAACATGTCTAGCTATGTATTGCAGAAAACGGATAGTACTGAAAGAGAGCACATCATAAAGTTATGGAAATTCTTATTCTATGTTTATTCTCCTTCAAAAACAGTTGGTTTTGTCTTTTCTTCATACCTTCAGAAAATTAGAAATATTCGATTTGTCGACATTCGTCACTCAAATGTCAAAATTGTCAAGTATTTGACTATCGTAAACTTGTTTTGGTTCTGTCAGCGGACAGTCCTAGAACAGTTCAAAATAGTTACCCAAGTGTATTGTCAGTATGTCTAGGCTTAGATGGTCTTATGAATGGAATGGTCAATTAATTTGAACCGTCCTAGAACCGTTCTCTGTCGGAACCAAAACAAAGCTTATATGTTTTGTGGTATTTGAATACGTATGTTGGTATGATATGTTATGTTTTGCTAAGAATATGGTTATTTATTATTCATTAAGAATTAAGAAATAATTATTAGATAAATCATATTATTACTTTCTCTTTAATTAGTTAAATATAAAAATTGGAGTTTTTAAACAAAACTTCAATCCGTTAAAAATAAAAACATACAATTATTTAATACCGGTATTTCTTGAGAGTCTAAATTTAAGAGGAAATAATTAAGAGCCAAAGTAAAGTACCTACATTATTAAAAATGGAAATTCTTGTGTTTCATATGATTACCGTTCTAAAACGGAAATTAGCTTCTAATTATTAACTTTATGTTTTTACACAGTACAGTACACCATAGATTTGACAGTATAATATGGATGGAGCCAAAGCCAACTTTCTGTGCAATGTAGTTGTTCCAACATGAACTGCAAAAACGGCCCTAAGTCACGTGACCTAGGATATAAATCGCGCGACATTGATTTTAAAAGAAACTAAAGCTGTTTTCCTTTTACAAATTGTCTTACTTAAATTTCAGTTTTCTTACATAATCTTAACTTCACAAAATGAACATCATGTTCTTTTGATTCGTGATCGGCAAAGTCAAAAGTCATCATAAATCCTAACAATACCTTAAAACACATAACACCAAATTTCTATTTTGTTAATCTGGTAGATATACTTATTAGATTAATTCTCATTAAAAATATATATCTAGACGAAGTGTATAATCAAGGTAGGTAATTATATAAATTATTAATTTTCAAACTAAATATATTACGTAAATGATGGCTTCTGCACCGGTTGAGAGACAATTTTATAAATACTCTGTTGTAATGGCAAATAAATATTTATTAATATTCAATGATTGAGTACATTAACGTAATTATTCCATTATGTCTAACAATAATAAGTAAATCAAACATCAGGCAAACCATAAACAGCATCTTATTTCTCTATGACCTTGCATTTTTAGAAACTTAGCCAAAATTCTTAATTTAAGTGAGAAATTCGGTATACTTGGCGTAGGTAAGGGGGGAGGTAAATAGCTTAAAATAAGAAAATAAAGGGAACGGCGTATTAGTAAGATTATATTAAGGAAAACGGCTTATTTCTGATTATGTGATTGACATTTAGTGGTAGTAACAGTACACAACAATTAAAAAAATATTGTCATATATATATATGTAAAATACGCAATAACACTTAATACCATGAAATGAATTCAACAAATTGCGCTTGCTAAGCTTGCAAATTCCCCAAATCACGTGACGTGAGAGTATTTTCATCTCACTTTACATTTTGGTCCCTTACCCCCCCCCCCTCTCTCTCTCTCTACGTTCCGTCCATAGTAGTGCATACTGTCAAATCTATGCAGTATGCACTATGCTCTGCAGTACACCTGGGAGATGGCAGTGTATCGGATATCAGACAAATGGACACCTACATACCAGCGGCAGCAGATAGTGGATCTGTTTTGGATCTGGATTTGATTTAATTTTGGACTAGGTACGTCTGTCGAACATGCTGGGTTTTACTCGTACCCTTTAATTATTTACCGATTGCTATGACTTACAGCCTTATGTGGCGAGTTTGAAATTACTAATCAGTAAAAGGCAGCTATTAAATTTCAAAGGCAAAAACTTGCATGCACATAGAATAAGATAACCTATGAGATTAGGTAGGTTTATATTTAATATACCTACCTATCATATTTAGGTATAAAGTGAAAAATATTTGACAACTTCCTAATATGCTAAATTATTTCAAAAATAATTAGTTGTCATTAAATAATTATATGGCATACTTTTTAATTTATTGTTCTGCTGCCAAGTTTAAAAAACATCAGAATGAGCAACTTCTATGTTTGAGTATACATAAAAATGTTCTTGACTATAAGTCAATAAATAAATAGGAGCATTGAAGACGGTGATGCCTTTACTGAAAATCGCTCGAAAAAATGATTGCAGTTAAAATTATAAAAAAAAATACTAAACGCGTTCATTGAACTTGCAGTAGTGCCAAAATAATATTCTTATCTACGTCAATGAAGTCATCTATTAAGTACGAACAGGAGACCTTGGCCTATTATCAAATAGTAAATCTTGAATAATTATTATATCGCACATAAGTTACAAGAATGAAGTACATGATTGCATAGGTAGTTTTATAGGAAGTGCAACGAGGCCTACGTGTGGAAAAAAGTATTGATATTCTAACAACAAATAGTAGACTTAGAAAATGGAAAATGCACTGGCTCAAAGTTTGTCGAAACTTGCCAAGCATTAAGTAGTGTCAGGGTGGTAGTACTGCATTAAACTTGCGCGCGCAAGGTGTATGGTGTATGCTCAACGATGGCGTGTTTTGCTATGTGAGATCTATAAACCCCGTAAAAATGTGTGTTTGAGGTGTTTCTAATATTTATAATAGTTCAAATGGTGAATAGTTTTAGTGACCACTGTTCATTTAGCTAACATCAACATCATCTTACGAAAAACATGGAGTTGAAATTACATTCTCCCGCGGGGGCTGAGCCTGTATTATATACCTGGCCGTTAACCTCTGGTCGTGGAAACGTAAGATAATAATTAATTTACCTTATTTTCATAAATTTCGCTAATATCGTTTATCAAAGGGCACTTGCCTTGTTGAAAGTGAAAAACCAATCGTTTTGTATCACTTCGCTGCTTTGTCGTAGAACTGTATCAGTACGTAAACGGTACTTTTAAATTAATCATATTTTTGCCCCGATGAAATTTGATTGAGGATTCGTGTTAGCCGTTAGTCATTCAAATTCTCTGTAAAAAATATCTAGATGTACTCACACATACGACGATTTTGTTTTGTTTACAACCCGGGTGGTAAAGTTTTGGTATAGAATTATTTTTGACTTAGTGGGGATTGTTTAAAAATAACTCGTTCTCACTATTTTATTAGAAAAATCGTTTCTAAAAATAATTTTTCAACTTTATAACGCTTCATATATTTAGATGGTATTCTGTATGTCCACCAGCAATAATTTCTTATATAAAATAACCTATTTAAGTACATCCGTTTTTTATGAGTTGCATTCCTTGCGTAGATTCAACATCCACAAAATAAATTAAATAGTTCTATTTAAGAATAATAAACACGTACCTAATCACGTTTTACATGAACACCGTTAATATTTTTGTATCAACATGTTCATAATATAGGTATTTAAAAAATATATCCTAGAATTTAAATCGATTTCCGTCTATAGTAAAGAACAGTTTAGAAAAACTCGCCATTAATTAGGTAAAATATGTATAGTTTTAATATTATAGAATTGTTAGAAATTTATCATCACAGTAGATAATATAAAGATACATTTATATTTACTCGACCTTTTAAGCTCCTGAGATAGACTAAAGTATACATTTCGTTTTTCTGTTTATCATAAGAGTATTAATAAAAAATAATTACTTATTCGTAAGTTAATTAGGTACTTATTTAAAAAAGTTAAAATAATACTTTACGCTGTTATATAAAGAATACCTACCTGTTGTAAATTTGTTTCAATGGCAGGTGTATGTGTTCGAATGTGGGTGCTTTTTATCAAAGTTGCAAATAAACATTTCCTTACCTAATTATATGTAAGATTCTTTGTATTTAGCTGCAGAAGGGATATGAATTGCAGGTAGTATGTACCTATTTATGAACCCAAGTCAGTAATTTTCATGAGGTATATAAGTAACAATTTCAGTTGTCTATGTCTATTGAAATATGTAAATATTATATGCGATGATTGTGATGTTAGGCACATATTGAGACTAAATTTATTTTGAAGTACCTACTTGCACTTAAAATCCATTAATTCCTCGTGTTACTTTACGAAACGATTTGTAGGACAGCAGTTAAAGGTTTACCTACTGTTGTACAATTTTTATTTCATTAATAGGCCTTTAAGATCATATGACGGCTATAATGCCACAATCGTAAGTGTAAATCGTTGGTATTTAGTAAATAATTTAATTAACAAAATATAGCATTTCCATATAATAACAAACTGTGTGCTATATATTACAGAAAATATTTTAAAAACATTTTATTATTATTATTATTATTATTATTTTATTATTATTTTATTATTATTATTATTATTATTATTATTATTATTATTATTATTATTATTATTTTTATTCGTTTAATTGAACTGTTCAGTATATTTGGGTCATATATGTTTGCAGTTCAATTTATAATTCAAGATAAAGTTAGGTATATGCTAAAAATTAGAGCTGTTATTTACATTAATTCAATAGGTGGCAATACCAATAACTGATACCAGGTTATGTTAACATCAGTGTGTTGCGTTGGCTGTAATAAATATTTAATGGTGAATTTGCACGGTAACTAGGCAGTTGATTTTGTTGATTCTGTTTGGTTAATGAGAATCTGATAAGGTGTTATATTGATGTGAACTGACTGTTAATAATATTGGTTCATGGCCAGTAAGGGCAGTAAGCCTCGCACTTTGCCTTTTGGAATGTCACAAATATATACAATTATTCTTAAATATTATGCCATAAAATCAGCACATTATAATTGTTAATAATATGGGTGATTTGATTATCTTTTGGAAAATAGTTTTCTTATCCGATTTCTAACGAATCCAATTCGGACGAAAACACATCCAAAGGACGACCGGCCTAAAAGTGACTAGGTCCTCTCCTCGCAATCAGTAATGTAGATAACTATAAACATAAACTTTTTTCTCTAAGATTAATCAGGGTCGTGATTATATAGGATGTCGTATTCGAATAAAGCTATAAGTTTCTAAACTTGTTTGGTATGTCGTTTTGCTTTCCTTTATTTGTTTTGAAAATGGATCTTCACTTTTGAAACAAAGAATCTCTAATATAATATTGGTAACAGGACCTAACAGCTGATACATTTCTCTCATCTAAAATACTAGAAATTTACTATCGTAGTCACTAGCTATTGCCTGACATAAGTTTTTGATAATTTGCCAATGCTACGTCCTTCATTGCAACATTTATCAGCTGGAATTTTAAATAGATGTTAAAAGTAAAAATGACTCACTCACTCACTGCTTCTGACACACAGTTAATTATTATTTACGTACCTACGGAAATGGATTAGTTCTGAAGTAGACGTAATAAAGAAAAAACATTTAGGTATATTTAAGAAATGATAATTAAACATTACATTACAAGATCGAATTCTACAATTTATAAAACCAGATGATTTTTATCGCAATTTACATAGTTCGTTTTAATTTTATAAACCTCTACATCTGAACTTGTTCACGTGTCTAAATCTTTATGTTCATTCTTTTAATGAACAGATAGTCCTTGATGTTAAACGAAGTCTCTTCATTGTTTGTACATTTAAGTATTCATTATCATTACATTTAATTAAATTATTTCTTGTTGAGAACATGTACGTGCTTAATTTTTTCACAATTTTTAAATCTCAAGTCTCAACTTCATTACTTTGATATTTTTATGACCAATGTTCTGGACTGTAAAATTCAGCTTAATTTTCATAAATCAGATTTATTCAAAACAACTCTACTACATAGATTCCCTCTTGCAGTTCTTCTTATTTGTACTTCCACTGATTGGCCCTCAAATATTTTTATTTGGTGCACAAATTCTTCTCTACGGTCTAGCAATTCCTTAACATTTTCGTTTTATTAATCTAAACATGCTTTTATTTTATATTAATTATCTTTATTTTTGTCAGCCGAATAAATTGGTATATCTTTTGATACACACGTTTTAATTTATTCGAAATTTACTTTATTTGTCGTATGTCTGCTATATGACTAGACGTTAGGTATTTCCAAGCCCATCAGTTTTATGCGATATATATATATATATATATATATATATATATATATATATTTATATGTATTT